GATATTAGCCAATAATAATTAACTATCAAACGATTTCAGCCAATTATTATTCACTATCAAACGATTTCAGCCAATTATTATTCACTATCAAATGATTTTAGTCAATTATAAATCACTATCAAACGATTTCAGCCAATTATTATTCACTATCAAACGATTTTAGTCAATTATAAGTCACTATTAAACGACAATAATTAACTATAAATTACTATCAAACGATATTAGCCAATAATAATTAACTATCAAACGATTTCAGCCAATTATTATTCACTATCAAACGATTTTAGTCAATTATAAGTCACTATTAAACGACAATAATTAACTATAAATCACTATCAAACGATATTAGCCAATAATAATTAACTATCAAACGATTTCAGCCAATTATTATTCACTATCAAACGATTTTAGTCAATTATAAGTCACTATTAAACGACAATAATTAACTATAAATCACTATCAAACGATATTAGCCAATAATAATTAACTATCAAACGATTTCAGCCAATTATTATTCACTAACAAACGATTTTAGTCAATTATAGATCACTATCAAACGATAATAATCAACTATCAATCGATATCAAAAGATTTTAGCCAACTATCAATCACTATCAAACGATTTCAGCCAATTATTATTCACTATCAAATGATTTTAGTCAATTATAAATCACTATCAAACGATTTCAGCCAATTATTATTCACTATCAAACGATTTTAGTCAATTATAAGTCACTATTAAACGACAATAATTAACTATAAATCACTATCAAACGATATTAGCCAATAATAATTAACTATCAAACGATTTCAGCCAATTATTATTCACTATCAAACGATTTTAGTCAATTATAAGTCACTATTAAACGACAATAATTAACTATAAATCACTATCAAACGATATTAGCCAATAATAATTAACTATCAAACGATTTCAGCCAATTATTATTCACTATCAAACGATTTTAGTCAATTATAAGTCACTATTAAACGACAATAATTAACTATAAATCACTATCAAACGATATTAGCCAATAATAATTAACTATCAAACGATTTCAGCCAATTATTATTCACTATCAAACGATTTTAGTCAATTATAGATCACTATCAAACGATAATAATCAACTATCAATCGATATCAAACGATTTTAGTCAATTATAAATCACTATCAAAGGAAAATAATCAACTATCAATCACTATCAAACGATGTTAGCCAACTATCAATCACTATCAAACGATTTCAGCCAATTATTATTCACTATCAAACGATTTTAGTCAATTATAAGTCACTATTAAACGACAATAATTAACTATAAATCACTATCAAACGATATTAGCCAATAATAATTAACTATCAAACGATTTCAGCCAATTATTATTCACTATCAAACGATTTTAGTCAATTATAAGTCACTATTAAACGACAATAATTAACTATAAATCACTATCAAACGATATTAGCCAATAATAATTAACTATCAAACGATTTCAGCCAATTATTATTCACTATCAAACGATTTTAGTCAATTATAAGTCACTATTAAACGACAATAATTAACTATAAATCACTATCAAACGATATTAGCCAATAATAATTAACTATCAAACGATTTCAGCCAATTATTATTCACTATCAAACGATTTCAGCCAATTATTATTCACTATCAAATGATTTTAGTCAATTATAAATCACTATCAAACGATTTCAGCCAATTATTATTCACTAACAAACGATTTTAGTCAATTATAGATCACTATCAAACGATAATAATCAACTATCAATCGATATCAAACGATTTTAGTCAATTATAAATCACTATCAAAGGAAAATAATCAACTATCAATCACTATCAAACGATGTTAGCCAACTATCAATCACTATCAAACGATTTCAGCCAATTATTATTCACTATCAAACGATTTATGCCAACTGTAAATCACTATCAAAAGATATTAGCCAATAATAATTAACTATCAAACGATTTCAGTCAATTATTATTCACTATCAAACGATAATAATTAACTATCAATCACTATCAAACGATTTTAGTCGCTATCAAACAATAAGAATCAACTATCAATCACTATCAAACGATTTTAGTCAATTATAAATCTCTATTGAACTATAATTATCAATTATAAATCACTATCAAAGGAAAATAATCAACTATCAATTACTATCAAATGATTTTAGTCAATTTTAAATCTCTATCAAACGAAAATAATGAACTATCAATCACTATCAAACGATATTAGTCTACCATTAATCAATATTAAACTGCCTACAAACGATTGGAATTAAAATTTGACAATTATTCAATTTGTTCAATTTTTGAAAGGAGAGTATTTAATTGTATGATATATGAATAAAAATTTGAAGTATTACATTTTGTTTCTAAAATCGAAGATGAAAATTTGTTTCTGTTTTTTGAAAATGCCGCGAAAGTATGTTTTGCGCATGCGCATATGGAGGGATGCGACATGGATAGATGTTTTTGATAATGTTTATATTTATTATTATTTCAACTATCAAACGTTCAGAATTGACTATCAATCTCTATCAAACAACAAACAAACGTTTACAAATGAAAAATTAGTATTTTTTTGAATTTGGGGTGCACTGTGAAAATAGCACACCAAAATTTGATTTATGTTTATTTTTTCTAATTATTACTATCAAACGTTAAATATCAACTATCAAACACTATCAAACGACCAACAAACGTTTAAAATAAAAAAAAATTGATTTTCATTAAGTTGTGGTGCTAACTTCACGGGCATTATTTTTCCGCAGGTTCATTTCTCCACAGCTTTAGGCTGTGTTTACATGACTACGTTTTGCATTGAACAATTATTTGTATTCCTAGCATCAAAACTCGATTCGATTTTGTTTTCGGTAAAAAAAAATTTCTGAGAAAAGAATAGCACGAAGTAAGAATAAGGAGTCTTCACTCCATGCGTGGATTGAAGGAAAAATGTTCCCAAATCTGGTACATAGTGTTCTAAAGACAGTAAATTACGTCAAGAAGAGAAAGAAGATTACGGTAATTTACCGGTAAATTACCGGATCGTTTTTTCTCTGAGAATTTATGAGAATTTTTACTTGTACTTTTATCCTTGTCTGACACGTGCGTTGTCATGACAACGTGTATGACGAGGATAAAAGTACAGACATATGTTCCTGACTGTACAATTATTATTATAATGAAAAATATCTTTGTTACAATATATAATATATATATTAATATATTAATATTGATATAATATTACATTATTATATTAAATCAGGTACATTTATATGCCTGCACTTTTATCCTTGTCTAACACACATGTTGCCATGACGACGCACGTGTTAGACAAGGATAAAAGTGCAGGCATACATACCCGACTGTCATCTTGTCAGTAAGAACACAGAGAAAATTAGGGTGCAGTCCCATGGAGCAGATTAGACGTTGACCAATAAAAAAACAGTCTCTAACGGAAATGCAAAATTTGCCGCGAGAGACTAACTTTTGATTGGCTGAAATCTATTCTGCTAATCTGCTCCATGGGACTGCACCCTTACAGTCTATTATATTCATTGTTCAAATTATTCATTTAATAACATGTCGGTCGTTTATTTATAACTTACATACTATAAAAATACATATTTAAATTTAAAAAAGGCAATTATCAATCACTTAAATGAATATTCTCATAAATTCTCTTTTTTTCGGTAATTTACCGCAATTTTCTTTCTTACATTCTCAGGTTTCAATTTTACCGAGAATTTTAAAACACTACTGGTACAAGCATTCCGGAAAATTAGAATAGTCGGAGGTGGCGTTCGTAACGGGAAAAACCTTAAACTATTGATTTCCCTAATTAAAGTCGTCTGCTATTTTTGAAAAGTATATTATAAAATCACATAATTTCATATTTTTGAAAAATTAAGTAATTGAATAAATAGTAAATGTTAAATATATGAAATAATATTTGTATTTAAAAAGTCATTTACAAATTAATTAATTTTATTAATTTTAATGAAGTTCTTTAAAAATTCACTAACTTTAAACTTCTTTTTAATACACATTCTTTAACAATCAACTATTGTTTTTTTTGTTTTTACAGTAATCTGTATCTATTTAATTGTATAAAAAAGTTTCCATTAAAAATCTATTAAAATTGAATTAATTCAATATAAGAATCTTTCGAATATATGACTTTTCCGAATATCAATTATTTTTAAAATTATTAAAATTCTTTATAAAAGCAAATGTAATAAAAATGTTTTTAATCATATTTAAATAAAATTCAATAATTTAAAACATTTTAAAAACTCTTCAAATTGTCATAAATCACACCTGTTTACAGTGAAATTGCCAATCGTACGAAATATTTTTTTTATTAATAGGTGTTTTTTAAGTAAGAAAAACATATTTTTGGATATTTTTTTCCTTCGTGCAATTTTGCTGAATCTAAAAAAACACATTTTCGAGGTGTGACGTTACTTAAATTCACCTGTAGGAAAATTAGTTTGTCCAAAAAAAATAATATACCATTGGAAAGGTATTATTAAACTATACCTTTCGAAATTTCGTCGTACTGTAAAAACAATAATTGATTGTTAAAGAATGTGTATTAAAAAGAAGTTTAAAGTTAGTGAATTTTTAAAGAACTTCATTAAAATTAATAAAATTAATTAATTTGTAAATGACTTTTTAAATACAAATAATATTTCATATTTAACATTTACTATTTATTCAATTACATAATTTTTCAAAAATATGAAATTATGTGATTTTATAATATACTTTTCAAAATAAATAGCAGACGACTTTCATTAGGGAAATCAATAGTTTAAGGTTTTTCCCGTTACGAACGCCACCTCCGACTATTCTAATTTTCCGGAATGCTTGTACCATAGTTGGGGACATTTTTCCTTCAAAGTGAAGACTCCTTATTCTTACTTCGTGAAGAATAGTTACCAGTCTAACAATAACAAGAATCACCTAACCTTTTTTACTTCTGATTCTGACAAATGATGTATAACCTTCATAACTTTTGTTTATTAAATTTATAATCAATCTACGATTATTATAATACAAAGTAAAGTGAATGTTTCTTAACATCTATAATAAAAACGAAAAATTTTAAAATGAATATAGTTGAAAAAGTTACTGCTGAATTTGCCCAGGCATCTATTTATGACTTTGATGCCAACGAACTCTACTTTCCCAACATGTGTCATGTTTGTCAGTGTTACGGCGAAAATGCTGTTAATTTAAAAAGATGTAGTGCTTGCGAAATGATATCTTACTGTTGTGAAGAGCATCAAATAAAAGATTGGCAAAATCATAAACAATTTTGCAAAGTAATACGTCAAATAAAAAATGAATGGGGTGTTGATAATATATTTAAATCACTAAAAAGCACGTACGCAAAAGAATCGTTACACACTTTGAAGAATTTTGAAGATAAAATGATTTATTACGAATCATTATTTGCTGTGAATAAATGTTTATTAACTAGAAGTATGGAATTACTACAGAGAAAATTAAAAAAAATTGAATTTGAAATGATTCAATTTCCAAGGGTTTGTGCTGTTTGCTATGAAAGTAAACAAGAATTATTGACAAATTGCAAAAAATGTCCTCAATCTAGTTTTTGCAAAGAACATTTAAATGATCCTAGTCATAAAAGTGAGTGTATGAAATTTATATCTTGTTTCAATTCACAAATTAATGAAGGTCTCGATGATACTTGTACAATATTGTCTAATGTTATGAACAATATGACATCACCTTTTTATCCGAAAGTTAAAAAATTACCCGATTCTATTACACAATTTTTGGAAACACGTTTGTCATTAGATTTAGCAACATTAAAAATTAGCAACACCTTGTTTACAGAAGAAATGAAATCAATATATAATCCCGTTTTATCAAATCGCTATTCCTGGCCATTTACATTACTTTATGCCATTGAAAAATTGGGTCTTCATTTACATTCAATGGTGATTCATGTTATTGGATCAGCAATATTGGAATTATTTGCTGATTGGGAAATGATATTTCATTTTTTACCACAAATGCGTGAAATTAAAGTAATTCTCATTGGTCCTGAACTGATGGTAGTTGATAGAAAAATACAAGAAGTTTGTGATCTCTGCAAGAAAAAGAAAAAGAAACTAATATTTGAAAAGATAAAAACTATGTATGATAAATATTGTATTGAAAAAAGTTACTTCAATCCTGATATGATTGTCTGTTTTAATCCAGGATTTCATGTTTATGAAACATGGCATAAATCCGTAAAGTTATTCAATAAAGTTCAATGTCCATTATTGGTAACAGCATTAAATACAACTGAAGGATTATTAGATAAAAGTTATATTGATTTACTATTTCCTTCAGCAAAATGTATTTATAATGATATCAATCCATTTGCAAGCATTCAGTATTCGAGGGAGTATATCCTTCTTCCTATTGCTGTCAAAAATCAATTCATGATACTTTACGAATTTCTCGATTCGAAAGAAGATTAATCCGAATAATGTATAGGCAATCTTTCTCAAATGAACAACATTAAAATTTAATTTACGGTGAGTATATTTAAAAATATATATTTTTCTTTTAATTTATAAAAACTTATAAATTACTTATAATATATATTCTTTTTTTTCCAGTACATAATTTACAATCTGGAATTATGACCATTTTATAATAAATGATACGTAACATATTTATGAGGACTTATGCGGAAAAAGATGAATACTTTTCATTTGAAATTTTGAAAAATAATTACATCATTTTTTTTTTTTTAATTTTTTGTTCGATATTAGTCTAAATAAAGCTTATGTTTCTTAAAAGTTTTAGTACCAAGAAATTTGTACTTTTATAACAAAAATAAACATGATATTAAATAAACATTTTTTAAAATAAATTATACTAACTTGTTATTTTAATGATTAACTGTAAGTTCTTACTCTCAGATAGAAAGAAATTTCAATATTTATTTATAAATATTACATTTATTTTTTTTATAATCATGAATTTGTAATAAAGCAAATTAAAGGTTTTGTTTATAATTGAATTTGAATTTACCTCTGTGAGTAAAGCACGGTTTATACAAACAGAGATTCAGAAAATTCTTTGCCTTCCGATAGGCTGGTAATATTTCCGTAAAAATTACCAGCCTATCAGAAAACACATTTCTAAATAATATATATTCAGTAACTGCTCAACCTTGGTTTTATTTCCAAACAAACCGTTATCTTGTTCAGTTTGTTTTTATTTGCACGTTTTTAAACATTTGTTAAATTAAACAAAATGTGTTGCCGACAGGAATGTCCGATTACTAAATTGTGTATGGAATCTATCGATATTTCGAATAGTGATGAGAGTTTTCAAGCAAGTTCACATGAATTCTATTTTCCAAATATGTGTCACATTTGTCGTTGTTACGGTGAAAAAAATCTTGTTAACCTAAAAAGATCACTGAAACGATGTAGTGCTTGTCAAATGATATCGTATTGTTGTAAAGAGCATCAAGTAAAGGATTGGTCAACCCATAAGGAATTTTGCAAAGTAATATGTCAATTAAAAAAGGAATGGAATGTTAATAATGTATTTCAATCGGTAAAAAGCATTGCTTTACGCAACGTGGGAAATGATCAAGATATGTATAAGTATCACAGCAAATCACTTAATAAATTCAGTGCAGATTTGACACGTGCAGTTATTGAGATACTCCAGAGGAAATTGAAAAAAATTGAATATCAAATGATTATGTTTCCAAGACTTTGTGCTGTTTGTTATGAAAGTAATCCTGAACTTCTCGTAAATTGTAAAAAATGTCCTCAAGCAACTTTTTGCAAGGAACACTTAAATGATTCGAATCATGAAAGTGAATGTTTAAAAATTATCAAATGTTTTAATACAGTGAAAAGTGTATTTTATCGTTTTCAATCTTTTTCACCATTGGATATAATGATGATACAATCTCCATATCATCCTGCAGAAAAAAAATTACCCTCTTCAATGTTAAAATTTATTGAGACACGTTCATCAACAGATTTATCTGAATGCGGAAATGGTAATACAACAATTGCAAGTGACATTAAATCAACAGTGTTGAATCGCTTTTTATCGGATCGCTTTTCCAGAGTGTTTACAATACTTTTTGCTATTGAGAAATTATCCCTTAATTTACAATCAATGGTGATACATGTCGTTGGAGCAAATCAAGGTGAATTGTTAGCCAGCGATTGGGAATTGATATTGCATTATTTGCCCAATTTAATGAAACTTGAATTGATTTTTATTGGCCCTGAATTATTTCCGGCTTTTAAACAATTAAATCAAAATTGCAATCTTTGTAAAAAAGAAGATAGAAAACTATTTATTGAAGCGAATAGAAAAGTATATCATGAATATACTAGAGGAGACAATTTTTTAAAACCTGATATGATTGCCTGTTTTCATCCTGGTTTCCATGTTCATGACTCTTGGAAAAAATCCATAAAAGTTTTTAGTAAAGGACAGTGCCCTTTATTAGTAACAGGCGTTAACACGATTGAGGCATCTATGGATAAAAATTTTATAAATTTTACATTTCCTTCAGCAAAATGTGTTTACTATGATTACAATCCCTTTACTTATATCAGTTATCAAAGGCATGATATTTATGTTCCGATTGGCGCAAACAATCAATTCATGCATCTCTATAAGTTTCTTGATAAGAAAACAGCATCCAATTAAAATGCACTTTTGTGAAACAGCATTTTTAATCTAAGGTATAATTTTTTTTTTCATAGCAAAATATTTATGTGTACTATATGTGATTAGTTAGAATTGAGTATATTTATACTAAATTTATATATTTTGTTTCAGTGAGTTGAAGATGAGTCTAATTTTGGGAAAATTACTAATACGAAGAGTTAAGAAGAGATGAATATACTTTTTTTAAAAACTATTTAAATTGAAATATGTCTATGGTTTCCTCATTGTTTTTTTTTTCTATTTTTGTTTGACTTTTTAGTCTAAAGTGTATGTTACGTTCATCACAAAATAATGTTTCAAAATAATTAAGTTATTTCAATGTTTATTTAAACTATTTTCAATAACAGAATGTGAATGTATAATGTAAAATTCACAATTTGAATATGTAATTTAAAAAAAACACATAAAGCATAATTAAAGTTGTTTTATATTTACATATAATTAAAATGGCTTTATTTGTCCCAGACTTACACAAACTACGCGGGGAGAAATATGAAACAAAAATTAAATTTGAATATCTTCGACAAAAAAATTTTTTTATATTAACAATTTAAAGGAAAACTTCAGAAAAATGTTTACATCTTTAAATGATATAACATTATTTTTAAAAGCAATTTGTATTTTTAATGAAAAAAAGAATGGTAAAATCGCATTTTTATTCCTATCTCGATTTGAATTCAAAATCGGGCGCTATTTTTGTGAAATATCAAATAAATAATAAATTGGACAATTTTCTGGCGCACTGTGACAGTGGACAATTTAAAAAAAAAAAACATTCGGAACGTGACCTTCTAGTCTTGCTCATTGCACTAAAGTGATCGTTCTTTTTTAAAGTGAATAAATTACAAAAATAATATACAATAAAAGCTTGTAAATTGCAAAATGGAATCATCAACTGAAGACGAATGTTGTAAATTTATGAAGCAACTAGCTGATATACAATCATCTGGAAGGCATTCATTAGATTTTTCCAGTTTACTAACTGGAAATAAATTCTATTTTCCCAACATGTGTAATGTTTGTTATTGTTTTGGAGAAAAAGTTGCTAAATTAAAAAGATGCGGTGCTTGCGGTATGATTTCATATTGTGGTGAAATTCATCAAAAGCAAGATTGGTCAACTCATAAACCATTTTGTAAAGTATTGTGTCAAATAAAAAAAGAACGAAACGTGAATAATTTATTTGAATCTATGAAAAGTATTGTTGAGAAAATAAAGAATACATGCAACGATCAAGCGGTGAATTATGAAATTATTCAAGAAAATATATTGGCTATACAATATCCTTTAAAAGAAAGAGCTGTTCAATTACTCGGGCGAAATTTAACCAATCAGGAATTTCAAATGATTCGATTTCCAAGAGTTTGTGCCATTTGTTATGAAAGTAAACAGGAAATTCTCGTGAATTGCAAGAAATGTCCTCAAGCAACATTTTGCAAGGAACATTTAAATGATCCCAATCATAAGAGTGAATGTTTAAAAATCATATCTTGTTTTAAAGTAATGAGTAATGATGATGTAACTCCACCTACATCAGTTATCGAACCAATATTAAAATCTACTTATCAAGAGAAAGCTGAAAAATTACCATCTACTATGTTAGATGTTATTGAAAAGTATTTAGCAAAAAATCTAGAAAAATTTGGTGACTTCAATATTACAGTAAATTTGAGATCAGACCATAATGTGGCTTTATCAGATCGTTTTTCCAGGCCATTAACATTACTTTTTTCTATTGACCAATTGTCTCTTAATAATTTACAATCAATGGTGATTCACGTCGTTGGAGCAAATCAAGCAGAACATTTAATCAACGACTGGGAATTGATATTACATTTTTTGCCACAATTACGTGAACTTCAAATAATTTTGATTGGACCTAGTTTGTTATCAAATTCCAAAGAAATTCAAAAATTTTGTAATCTCTGCCGAAAGGGAAAAAGAAAGCTAACAATTGAGACAAAGAAAATAGTATACAGTGGCTATTGTAAAGGAAAAAATTACATGAAACCAGACATTATCTGTTTAAATACAGGTTTTAATCCTGATTCTACTTGGAAGGAATCTATGCTTGATTTCTATAAAGGACAGTGTCCTTTATTGGTTACAACAAAATGTAAAGCTGAAGGACTTAATGATAAATATTTCATCGATTCGACATTTCCTATGGCAAATTGTTTATATTGCGATGAAAATCCATTCACAAGTCTTTCATATACAAGGCAAAATATTTTTGTACCCATATCTGCTAATAATCAATTCATATTTATCTATGACTATCTTGTCAAGAAAAAAGTTTCCAACTAATAATTTGATAATTATATTATTTCTACATACATGGTAAGAACATTAAAAATGGCATATATAATATTTTAACTCTATAATTAATTATTAATTTTTTTTTTCAGGAATTTACAGTTTCAAAATCTTTGAGTTACATGACGAATGGCAAACTAATTTTTTAAAACATATCTTATTATGCAATGATCGTCAAAAAATAAGACAAAAAATTATTATTTGAATTCCTTATTGTTTTTGTTTTGGTTCTTATATATACAACCTATATAATTTTCGCGTTTCTTTTTGGATTTAAAACATTTTTTTTTATATTAAATCCAGTAATTTTTCAAATACAAATAATTTTTGTACTAAAAAAAAATCATAATTATAATAAAAAAATATGGATTCAATCCTGTATTGTTCTATATATTTTTTCGAAATTAATAATACTTTTTTTCTAAATATATTGTAATATTAATATAAAAAAAAATTGTGTTCTGCTTAAATAAAACATTCACAAGCCGTATGTTTGTTTGTTTGTTTTGTTTAAATTGCCTCTACAAGCCGTATGTATATTTTTATTATTGTTTAACGTAAAATAACATTCGATCACGTAATGTACAACGTTAACGTGAAACAAAAAGTTTGCATTGTAAATTAGGATGGATGTTTATGGTGAATTCACAACGTGGCTCATTCTTTTTACAGCGACCGTTTTGTCCTTTTCTAACGCACGTGTTGTCATGGCAACACGTGCGATAGAAAAGAACGAAAATATGTAGGCATATCTGTCCACGAGTAAACATACTTTTCAAATAATTTTTTTCACATTTTTTTGTGTGTACATATTTATTTTTGTTAGTTTTATCTATTTTTTTATAACATTCAAACAAACACTTTAAATCGTTAACAAGACTTTTCACTCTTTCTATCTCATTCTTTCACCTCCTGTTTCTTTTTTCATTCTGTTTTACTCTTATCTAGGTTAAAAGTAATCTATGAACGAACAACGTGGTCCACGTCGGCTACGTGGACCGGTTGTATAGCTTTCTGTTTTCGAAATAATTTATCCGTCATCAGTTGACAGAAATTCTTTTCTCCGACAAGAAGCTAACAGACGTGTTAGCGTTTTTATTTTATTAACAACTAACTTTAGTCACTTAAAAGTTTAATAATTATTAGTCATGAAGTCATTTATAGTGCTATTTTTATCACTTTCAGTAGTATTTGCTGAAACTTGTCAAAAACCAGAGGTTGTTGCCTCGGCTTATGTTACTGAAGATGCCACAGTTTTAACTAATGTCGCATTTACGACACAATTCACGTTAAAATGCAGTAATGGAGTAAAAGGAATTTCTCTTTACGCCGAAGTTAATGGCAAAGCATTGCCTGCTGTAAAATTGAGCGCAGATAATAAATATCAGGTACATATGTTTCAGTTATACTCACATTTTCATCTTGTCTGCTATAAATTATTTTTTCACAATAATATTTTAAATTTATAATCGTCTAAAATTGTAAAGTACTAAAATTAAAAAAGTGAAACAATTTTTAATCAATTATATTGATCTTTTCATTGAAAGTCTAAATAAAATGCTAAATATTTTGAAAGCTTTGATCAATTAAATACTTAAAGTTTATTCTAAAATTTTTAAATGTAATTTTTCAGGTATCCTGGACGGAAGATATTAAAAAAGTTCACTCAGGGGATTACAATGTAAAACTCTACGACGAGGAAGGATACTCTGCCATTCGTAAAGCTTACAGAAATGCAGAAGATCCAAGCAGTGTGAAGCCATTGGTAGTTGTGGTAGTTAACAATCCAGGAGTTTATCTTGGACCCTGGATAAATTCTGAATTATTAGCTGTCATTTTAGCAGCTCTTGTTTCATATGTAGCATTTTCCGCAAAATCTAAACTTCTAGCGTAAAAAATTATTTAAGTAATTTATGAACTGTAATATAAGTTGTTTTTTTTTTAAATAAATTTACATTTTCTTTAGTGAAAACGTGTCAAAAAAAAAAAAACTATTTTCAAATTTAAAATGGTAAATATTATTATTTATAAATATTTATCAATCATAACATATTAATTAGAAGAATGAACAATAAAAATTTGTTCCCATTAAGAATAACCTCCCTAAAAATAAATGAGTAAAAATACATTTTCAAATAACTAATATGAAAAGTTTCTAAAAATTGATTTAAAAGATATTAATAAAAGAAATTTAAAGCAAAGAAAATAATACTAAAAAAATAGGAAAAGAACTAGGCGCAATTGCGCCTACATCTAGGGTTTCGTGGCGCTTTAAATTTTAATTAAAAAAAAAAAAAATCAAAAATAAATAATAAAATTTATTTTATAAATTTTATTTATTTAGCAAAATTTTTATTATAAAAAAAAAAAATTTATGGCAAACTTTTTAAAAAATGGCAATCAAAGAAAATCAAAAATTGGCAAAAATCAAAATTGAAAAAAAAGGTAAATGAAAGAAAAAAGAAAGAGTGGCTGTGGAGTGGAGGTCTTTCTTCTATCATTTATCTTTTTTGATTCACAAACAAAAACATTAGGTAAAATGTCCATTCGATAATGTCCACTATTAAGACATGTCAACTCTTGGACATGTCAACTATAGAGACATATCAACTATAGGGACATGTCAACTACTGGGACATGTCAACTATAGGGATATGTCAACTATATGGACATATCAACTATTGGGACATGTCAATTACTGAGACAGGTCAACTACTGGGACATGTCAATTATAGGGCCATGTTAACTAATGGGACATGTAATGTCCATTCATGTAATGTCATTTCGGAAAAATGTCCATTCAGTAAATGGAGATTTGGGATCTGTGGGGCCCCAAAATTTGAATTTGGGAGCTATGGTGCCCCAAAATTTGAATTTGGGATCTGTGGTGCCCCAAAATTCGAATTTGGAAGCTATGTTTGCCCAAAATTCGAATTTGGGAGCTATGGTGCCACAAAATTCGAATTTGGGATCTCTGGTGCCCCCGAAATTCGAATTTAGGATCTGTGGGGCCCCAAAATTCGAATTTGGGATCTGTGGTGCCCCAAAAGTTTAATTTGGGATCTGTGGGGCCCCAAAAGTTGAATTTGGGATCTGTGGGGCCCCAAAAGTTGAATTTGGGATCTGTGGTGCCCCAAAAGTTTAATTTGTGATCTGTGGGGCCCCAAAATTTGAATTTGGGATCTGTGCCCTAAAATTTGAATTTGGGATCTGTGGTGCCCCAAAATCGAATTTGGAAGCTATGTTTGCCCAAAATTCGAATTTGGGATCTGTGGGGCCCAAAAATTCGAATTTGGGATCTGTGGTGCCCCAAAAGTTTAATTTGGGATCTGTGGGGCCCCAAAATTTGAATTTGGGATCTGTGGTGCCCCAAAAGTTTAATTTGGGATCTGTGGTCCCCCAAAATTTGAATTTGGGATCTGTGGTGCCCCAAAAGTTTAATTTGGGATCTGTGCCCTAAAATTTGATTTTGGGAGCTGTGGTGCCCCAAAATATACTACGGACAGACGGACGCCAAAGTGAAACTATAAGGCTTTCGGCCATGGGCCACGAAACCCTAAAAAAGCTGCTGAAAAATTATAAAACAAATTAATTTGAAGAACAATAACAATAAACTATTCGTGTATATTTGTATAAAATATATATTTAATATATCTCCGAGGGTGGAGAGTTGCCAAACAAAAATTTCCACGACGAGGGATATTTAATAGCTAATAATTTATCGTCATTATGCGAAACAATTGATAACCATTGATTCAAGTAATTCAACAAATCAAGAGCATCAGGGATGTTGTCACCTTCAGAACAAAACTTTAATAAAACAACACAAGGAATTTCATCTTTCTCTAAAGTTTCGAAGAAACATTTTGCAAAGCCACCGCCAGGAATTTGTAGAACACCTTCAGTATCGACATAATCAACAACTTTTGGTTCTAATTTTATCCAATTTAGATTTTCAAATTGAGTGGTATCCTCAGCTGTTAGAGTTGTCGATGCAATATAACGTAATCGAACTGTTTTCAATTGAACATCTCTAATCTCGTGACTATAACTACTTGTCAAAATAACAACCTGCAAAACAATTATCAATAAACAACAAGATTTTTTTTGAATATCATGTATTGTTAGTGGAAAAAAAGAAAATTTTTCTTTGATCCTTTTATGAAAAAAATCGCAATTTTTAGTTAAAGAATTGAATTTTTTAAATTTTTATGTGTAGAAATGTAAATATTAGTACAAAATTATATTTCTTATTAATCACTTAACAGGATCTCTATTTATTTGCTTTTACTTTTTTTTTATTTATGTATACATAACCTCAATTATGTAAAGAGGTTTTAATTTTACATTTTAAGAATTAGAAACTCAAAAACAATATTTTTACTATTTAGAAGGAATAAAATTGAATCTAACTTTGATATATTTACCTTTTCTTAAAGTTATTTAAATAAACAACAGATATATATATATATATAAAAACAAAATTTTATACTTTATGACTGTTCAAAAATAAAATAAATAAAATTACCTTCGATATTTGATGGTACTTGATAAAATTCTTCAATTCATTGTAAAACTGCGATAATTTTCTAATTACAGGTGAACGAATTTGCAATACAACAACTTTTTTATCAGAGCTATGATATAAATCAGCAGAAGTACAAATTTCTTTAGAATTTTCGTCGTACGGATCAGTTCCTACAACTGGAATAAATGAGGAATTCGAAAAATGACCAATTCTTCGTAATTGCATACTAGAAATTATCAAATCAACTGTTAATTGGCCAACATTTCCAACGGCTACAGCCGGAATAATTAGAGTATGATTCTTTAAATCCACTTCTTCTTTAAAGGTTATCATCTTTCGATTTTCTTAGTAAACACTGGTAACTTATTTAGTTTACAGATAAATATAGAATTAAACAAACAATTTTATTTATATTTATATACAGTGTTTTTAATTTCTTTTAAGAATCATGACAAACAAACAAAATCTCAAGGTGCAGTAGCTGTATAATTATTAACATATAGTATACTGTGCAATATGATAGGCTGCTAACATCTGCAAGTAATATTACCACCCAATCAGAATGTAAAACTCTACCATTGTGAACTATCCATAATATTTAATTTTGAGTTTCATTTCTCTGTGTTTCAAATCTAAAAATTTGTCAATGACAAAACATAAATTACAAAGAATTTATCTGTCAATTATAAAAGTTTAAAATTTAACCTAAAAATGTATCAATTTGTGAAAGAAGCCAATAAAGTATTAATTTTCTCAGACAAATCATTTGTTTATTTTGGTGATATTAAAGCAGAAATTGAGAAATCAGAAGGAAAAAAGCCAGAGATTTTGTTTGAAAATCTTGAAATATTATTAAAAACAAATCCAAGTTTTTCATCAATAGACGTTATTCTTGCTGCTTTTGAACAACCTTTTGTTTTAAATAATGTAGTGTTGAAAAAATTACTCCAATTTCTAAAGCCAAAAGGTATAATTATTTTTCGTGGAGCTGTCGAGGAATTAAAAAATTTAGAAGCAAGTTTTGTTTCACGATTAAAATTAAATGGATTTCTCTGTGAAACATCACAAACTGTATCGACAAAAACATCTGATGATTCAGAAAAAATTTTCCATGAAATTAATGCAAAAAAACCATCATATGAAACTGGTTCAAGTGTATCACTTTCATTTGCCAAAAATCCCGTTAATATGTGGAAATTGAATGATGAAGATGATGACGACGATAATGATGCTAATTTAATTGATGAAAATGATCTCTTGGACGAAAGTGAAACAAAGAAACCATCAGAATCGTCATTACGAGTTTGCAGTACGACTGGAAAACGTAAAGCATGCAAAGATTGTACTTGTGGTCTGAGTGAGGAATTAAATGGTAAAAATGAAGATCAGAGTGTCAAGTCATCTTGTGGAAATTGTTATCTTGGTGATGCTTTTCGATGTGCCAGTTGTCCTTATTTAGGAATGGCTGCCTTTAAACCAGGAGAGAAAATAATTCTCGATGATTCACAACTTGTTAATATTTAACAATCTCTCATCATTTTCTAGAACAATATATCAACATGTTACAAGATAAATTTTTATCATTAAATTGTCATTCTAAGCTATTGTGATTGTAGAAAATATTAATAAAACTATTTCATAAATTTAGGCCCGCTTTATTAATATCGTTAATTTAGATTCCTTTTTAATTTTTATAGTTTTGCAATTTTTTTTAAAAACTAGGTACTTTTCTCAAAAGAATAAATTTTTAATTTAAAAAAAATTATATACTTATATATTATTAATTTAAGTATAAATACACATTTTCAATTGTCAGTATTATAGTTTATTTTATAATAAAAATACAACTAATGTGAGTAAATATAGGTAAATAACATATTACAAAAATGAGCTGCATACCTACCCAATCCTGATTATCATCTCATCAGTTGTGTATACACATGTAACTTTTTTTGTTTTGACTTTATTTGTTAGCCTTTAAAGGACTAATAGTTTATTAATTAAGGTTATTTTTTATCAAAAAATAATTATTGTTATTATTAAATTTACTTTTTATATTATCAGAAATAAAATTCAGTGTATTCATTGTAAAAATGAGTAAATGAAATACATAACCTATAAGTTGAATCTCAACAGTATATATCGAAAAAGAATATATAAGTTTTTTTTTAATTGTTATAATAAAGTAAGTTACTATACTCATTTAAAATTATTTAAATTAAATTGTATCTTATTATATTATATAAAATAATTAAAATGACACGATCATCTATTTCATAAAATTAAAAGTTTTAAATGAAAAAAATCATTCAAAATATATTTGTATATATGAATTTAATTGAAATTTATTTTTCAGATTAAATAAAAATGCCTTTCTTAACGCGTCGTCTTATTCAAAATTTTAAACAAACATCTATTTTACAAAATATTTCTTCTGCATATCCTAGTACAAGGGTAAAAAGAATTCCACAAACCGTACAAGTTAATGATCAAGAAATAAAAATAAGTAGACATACAGCATTTTTACGAAATGTACTAGAAAATGATTTAAATTTCGTAAAACTTTTAAGAGAACAAAAAAATTTCTCAACAAATGATTGGCTAAACGCACGCGATGAACTGTTAAAAATTAGCATTGTTAATGAAAAAAATATTGATGCTATAATTTCAAATCTTTGTTTTGGTTTTGAGAATATTGACGCTTTTATGTCTTACATGAAATATTTAAAAAGTAACAATTATGAAATTAATCTTTATTTAAAGGGAACATATGCATCTAAATTGGCATTAAAACAAATTTTAACGAAATCTGATATGCAAGAAATTTACGATATTTATGATTCTTTACTTAAACAATATTCAGTCTTAGATGGAACCACGTGTGACCGTTTGATTCAAGCACTTTGCGTAACTGAAAGATGGGAAGAATCAGCGAAATTATTTGAAATGTTAACTATTTCAACTAAAAAACCATCTAAAGCAATAAGTAGGATAGTTAAGGCAGCATTTGATAATAATAAACCTGAAACGGGTTGGAAATATTTTATACAAGCTGCAGAAAGTGAAATACACTTACTGGCACAGGCATTTGCATCTTATTTAGAATATTGTCTAAGAATATTCAAAGATAAAGGATTGCTTGAAAAGAATCTTTTAAAAATGTTTGAAATTTGTAGAGATAAAGAAGTATTGATCAATAAAGAAGAATTAGATAATTATTTGACAATTTTCCAGAGTTTAGGATATACTTACTTTGATACATTTATGAATATTGAGTAAGTTTTTCTCATGTTAAATACATTAAATATTTAAATAGTATTAATAATTTTGTTTTTTTTCTTCTAATTTCAAAATTACATTCAACATTATTTATAATTATGTATAAAAAAATTTTCCTTTTTAGCGGAGAATGTATGCACTGTTCACACCAGTTACCAAAAGTAGTAATAACTCAAGAACAATTTAATGAATTGTCAGAATTGTTTATGAAAAATGTGGTAGTCGGTGACAATCTTTATACAAATACCACACCTATTGAATTTAAAAAATTTTTACAATTTTTAAAAAATGCATTACCGTATGATATTGTAATAGATGGATTAAATGTTGCTCTTTCTCAACAGAATAAAACTATTCCAGCAAAAGTAGAAATCGTAAGATATTTTATTTATTATAATTTTATTCAATTTTTATTTTACTTTAGGTCTTATTTCAATAATAATAATAATAATAATTAACAAAAAAATTGTCATTACATAAAAAGTCTATTTTCAGCTTTCGAAAGCTATAGAGTATTTTGTTAATAGAAACCAAAAAGTTATTCTACTTGGACGAAAGCATATGTTAAAATGGAATAATATGGGCTACATTAAACACAATACAAAAATGTTTTTATTTGACAACAGGTAAATATCAATTTATCATCCCTTTTTCTTTATGAAATTAAATAATAAAAATATCAAATCAATTTGTTTTGCAAATTAGCTCTTTTGATGATCCACATTTAATATACGCAACTTTCTACGGCGGTTTGAATACTTGCTTCCTGTCAGGAGATTTGATGCGTCAACATAAATCGCTATTGCCAAAAAACATGCAAAAATTGTTTAAACTTTGGCAATTGTCACATCAATATTTAAAAAATCAAACAAATGCTATAAATTATCCAGTTAAATTTGAATCAATTCCTCATGAAGATAAAAATGGTTGGCACATGCCTTATTTCACAGGCAACAGCTCTGTTCCCAAAGACTCATACAATGCAACATCTAATTGGATATGTTTGAGAAAAAAGTGTCAATAAAAAGTCATAGTTTATATTATATTTGACATTACATTATCTAATGAATGCAATATACCTTAACAATATGTTTATTAAAATTTCAAATAGTTTACTTACCACAGTCTTTGCTGAAAATATATTTTATAGAAAAAAATTATGTTGAATCAAATTAAAGGAAAACTTTTTTTTTTTTTTTTAAAGAAAAACCAAGTATAATAAATAATAATCTTTTACAGTTTTATTCCTATAAAACTGAATTATAAATATGTAAATTTTGTATTTTTCTTATTATTAATAATGAAATTATGTTGTTTGTAAATTTAACAGAAAAAGTTTCAAATAAAAAATTGATTTTCTACAATATTTCGATTTTAGATTTTTAGCAATGAAAACTTTTGTCAGAGGCAATAGAAAATATAGATATAATAACTAATGGAAAATATAAACTGAAATTTTAATAATTATGAAAGGGAAACATTAACAATGAATTGTTCATTTAAATCTTTTTAAAAATTTTATAATAAATTTTCGGTAAAGACTGATACAGAATGATAAATGAATTATTTTTTTTATTAATTTAATTAATTAAAGTTTTTAGTTAAAAATTTGATTAATGAATTGCATAAAATAAAGATCAAAGTTCAATATGATAGTTTAGATTCCTATAAAGTAGAAATTATCAAGTGAGTAAAGTAGTATTATCAGTGAATTGATTTTAAACGTAATTGTCAAAATGACATCATTGACAGTTATTCCACTAATATCTAAACTGTCAAATAATGTCATTCGGATCCTTGGATGCAATCCTGGGCCAATGACACTTCAGGGAACAAATACATATCTCGTTGGTAGTGGATCGAGGTAAATTATTCTTTTTATGCGATAACTTTATAACCTCTTTTTCAGGTAAAGAAACATGTTTGAAACATGTTTGAATGTAACTTTTTTTCATTTTCAATTAATATTATTTTCAATTTTCAGACGAATTTTAATTGACACAGGTGATGTGGACACGGCGCCGAAATATGTGGAATTATTGAGCAAAGTTTTGGATGACGAAGGTGCTACGATAGAGCACATGTTAATTACTCATTGGCATCACGATCATATTGGAGGAGTGTCAGTAATTCAAAATTTTTTAAATTTAAAAAAACAAAATTCAGCTACTGTTTGGAAGTTGCCAAGATCATTGAGAGACATTGACATTACAGATGAAGAGAAATCAATTGAATGGAATTCATTGGATTGCAATCAATTAATAGAAGTTGAAGGCGCAAAATTACAAATAAAACCTACTCCAGGTCATACGACTGATCATTATTGTTTGTATATGCAGGAAGAAAATATTCTCTTTAGCGGAGATTGTATTCTAGGTGAAGGTACGGCAGTTTTTGAAGACTTACACGATTATATGATATCTTTGAAGAATATTTTAAAAATAGCGCCGACTCTCATTTATCCAGGACACGGTCCTGTGATAACTGATCCTGTATCACGAATTCAATATTATATTCAGCATCGTCAACAGCGAGAAGAGGAGATTCTCAAATGCTTACAAAAGAAAACTGAACCCATATCTGAAATGGAAATAGTACAAATTGTTTATAAGGTAAGCATACAAAATTGAAACATAACTTCTTAAATTTATTATCCACAGAGTGATGTGGCTGTTTTTATTTAAAAAATTTTCTATGCACTTTGAAGAAGAAAATTTATTTTCGTGATCGAAATAAATAGTTAAAAAAGTTCATAAATTTTTTTTGAATTAACCAAATAAAAAAAAATCGTACGTCATTCTGTGGAGAATATATTTAAAAAGTTATTTTTCAATTTTCAAGTCAATCAGTCAAATATTTTTTGAGTTATCATGCTCACCGTTGCAAAAAGCATGGTCGCACAAGAATCAACATATCTCTGCCATTTTTTAATTTTTTTAAAACTTAAATACTTTATGCCATTAGTGCATGAAAAAGTTATATCTTTAACAGTTTCGTAAAAAAAAAATTCTATTAAAACCGTAAAAAATTTTTGCATTTAACCCCTGAAGCATCAAATGTGATAGGAAAATATTTCAAATTCCTTTTTTTGTACTTTATTTTCGAGAATATTTACTTTTATTGCAAAGGGTTTTTTTTTCTTTATATTAACTTATAAAATAAAAATATCTACTTTTAGACAACACCAGAGGATTTATGGCCAGCAGCATCAATAAATGTCAACCATCATCTCGAGAAATTAAATAAAGAAGGCAAAGTGAAAGGGCAAAAAGGTAGTTGGTTGATAAACTAACGTCAGTGATATGTAATCTAAATTATATACGGAACATTTGTAAATAGAACTTTATATATATATATATGTATAATTGTAAAATTGTATACAAATAAAATGTATAAATCTCACAGAAACTGATGAATTATAATAATAACCGGCAAAAATGTAGTGGCCAATTTTAGTTTATATTTTCGAAACATTTATTAAAATTATATTATTATTGATGATACATGTTGATGGATTCATTTTCCAAAAAAGTAAAACGTTGCGATTATTGATGTATAGATTAACAGACATAGCATTCATTTTCATACCAAGAATATTTTAACAACACTAATTAATGGATATTTTTACTTCACATATGGGGCGTGCGCACACACTCAAGATTATAATTATTACATTGAGTAATTTTACTACTCTTTTCGTGACAGATAAAAAATATATGTATATACTTCAATAGAAAGTTGCACCAATTATATTCAATGTTTTATATATAAAATATAGGTTTCTTTTAAAAAAATTTTTTTTTTATTTCCTTTTTTTGTTTTAATTAAATGACGCTGACTGCTTTTTTAGAAGCGTCTGAAAAGAAAGTAATTTTCATACTATGAAAATATATATATATATATTATATGTATATGCAAAAATGGACCTCGTTAAAATCTTTGATAAGCTCACTTTTACGCTAACATGAATGTTTTTTTTCTCTCTTTGGGTAGACGTACAAAATATATTTATAATTATATATGTATAACTATTTATATATTTATATATTTATATATATATATATATTTTTTTTTATATTCATATATAATTTCATTAACCATTCTTTCACAATTACATGCAATATAATCTGTTATATTTCTTTGCTAATCGTTGATAACATCAACATAATCACATAGTTGGCTCAGTGCACTAATTAATAACAAAACATTTCAATAATTCATAACAATTGAATGTAGAAACGAATAGAAATAACAATTTTTTTTAATTTGCATCACATTTTATATGATAATTTTTTTAATATATTTTCTTCAAAATTTCTTAAAGCTATAATTGTATTTTTCCTTTTTCTAAATAATAAATATACAAACGTAAAGACATGAATCATAAAATGATTCGAAAAAAAACAAAATATAAATTTTTCCAATAAAATATAATATCGAAATAAATAATGAATTTTTCACAAATTTGATTTCTAAATGAATTAATAACTTTATTTTTAACTAAACTTCTTAAAAAGAATAACTATTTTTTCTTTTAATCATCACAAACGAAAAGTAAACTTTAAGAAAAAGTACTTTTTTTTCACTATAAAGATTTCTTTTTTTTTCGCTTTTACATCCAATTTATTCGTAAATTACGTATAAGTATCGTACGCAAATAAAAAAAGGCACAACACTATGACTAAGCTCGCATTGAAGCCGAGTACCGAATAAAATAAAAACAACAAAATGATCCATTATATGTAATGAAATCAAGTCAAAGAAGCCTTCAATAATTCACAGAATTACTTCCTTATCAAGATACGGTTATCGTAAATTGGCTTCACTCAATTTTTAGCTGCTCTGTACAAAGTATTTTTTCCGTTGAGTGGGGTCAGTAAGGATATCAATTATTAATTTATATTAATAGTTTCTTTGACTTAAAAACTTAATATCCATATAAGCGAAAAAAACAGACATTTCGCTTTGCAAAGGCACCTGGTTGTTCTGGCACGAAGAAATTTAAATTAATTAACGTAACATTTTCAAGTTAATAATAATAATAATAATAATAATAATAATAATAATAATAATAATAAAGTATGAGAAAAAAATTAACTGTCGCGCACTTAAGCGCCCGTCTTACTTAAGAATATTATAATTCTTCACGAATAGTCAAAGTGAAATCTCGCTGGAACATTCGCCAAAATAAAAAAAATATCTTTGACGACAAATTTTATCATTTAAGAAAGATAAAAAAAATTTGTTCTTTGATAATTTGAAAAAAAAGTTTGTCTGAAATTCTATTCAGATATTTTTTTCTTAAAGAAACAAAAGATAACGATTAATTACTTTTTCACTACATCTCAACTCAAACTGAATCCCCATTATTTTACAATATCAATCTTAACATATTTATAACAAGTTTAACAGAGTTTAGAGGTCATTAAATTTTGAAAATCCTGTATTTTTCGAAATCATGTTCCTTAAATTGTAAAAAAAATTATATCAACTTTATTTGTATTAACATCCACAGGTTTTAAATTAAATGTTCATAATTTTTAATTTTCTTATAAAAAAAAAAACTTGAAAAATATAATTTATTTGAAAGCTAATTAGATTAAATAGCAATGAATGATAATGAAAATTTAGTGAAATAAACATTTTGAACAGATGTTAATTAGAATATTTCAAATTGTGTATCAAACTTATTTTTCAAAATAATTTGCAAATCTTTCAAGATAATATGTATATACAAATAAAGTATTAATGAAATTAGGATTTTCAATTTCTAAAGATATTTCAATATACAGTTGCAATAGTTGTCAATGTTTGTTTTGCAGGTAGAGAAATTACTTTTTCCTCTTATTGGCAGATTATTAATAAGAATTAATAATAAAATTGATTCAAAAAGAATTCAAGAAATTAACGAACATTATCTCAAAAACTTTCTTCAAAAATTTCTAAAAATTGTTATTTAACTAGTCTTATGTACTTTTTGTAATACAGTTACACATTGTTTTGATATAAAGAATTTTTTCTAAATACATATAAATATATGTATCTAAATGTAATATTTTGGCCGTTACAAAAAAAACTATAATAAACAGAATATTTCGCCAGTTCGAAAAAAATTCAAGACAAAGTTCTCTTCACTTTTTAAACTAATTTAATTTTAAATTAATTGAAATTGATCAAATTCAAACTGATTTAAATGGATTTGAATTCAAAATTAATTAAAAATCCAATTTAAATTTATGAAAATTGAATAAAAATTTAATTTAATTAATATAAATAGTTTTACAATTGTGTAAATTATATGTCAATTTCTTTTGTTTGTTTTTGACAAAATCCAATTTGTAAAACATTTAAATTAATTAATTAATTTTATCTCAAGTTCATTTCAGGGTGGCCACTATTTTCAGGATATTTGATTTCCGGTTCTCTCGATGGAAATTAGCGTTGTCTCCCGGTTTTTCGACAGAATTTTTTCTGCAAAAAAAAAAAAAAAAAAAAACCCTCTATTTTGATGTAATGTGTAGTTATGAAAAATAATTACCACTGAATATCCTGTTTCTAAAAATGTAGTATATTTTAAGTTGTATAAGCAGTATGAGAAAATTTTATCTGGTAAAAAATATTAATCTGATTGTTTATATATTTCAAATAAATAATAAATCAATAAAGGAGCAAAATATAAAAAAAATTTCTCCCAAAATAATATTAAAGTCCCTGCTTTCTTCTGGTTTTTATTCGATTCAAATTTGTCCCGATTATATGCCGGTTGGGTGGCCACCTTGAATTTGTTTTTTTTTGAGATTTCAATTAAGATAATAATAGTAATTGGTTATACCTTACAATTTAAGGACACAGTTCCGATGACATTCTACATAAGAAAACCTCCTTGAGGATCGAAACAGCTAGGATTTATGTAACTCAAAAGATCGTGCTCTGACATTGAAGTTAATTCCTGAGAGAGTAAGCCAGTGTCTTCGGATTTTCTCACATTATTAGGATTATTTGTAGCGGCCGTGGCATTTTGCATATTAGGATTTACATTTTGTCGATTGGATGCCACCACTGGCATTGATACTGTACCTGGTGGAGATTTATTTGCCGTTTGATCAACAATATTACCCTGACTTGATGGCGATTTCGGTAGAATTCCTTCCATTGCGCTATTCATAAGCTGAGCGCTTTGTGTTGCAACACTATTTAAAATATTTTTGGTTGCAATGATTGCGTGTGCCGTGGTTGTGGTTATTGGCTTATTATTAATAATATCTTGAGTGGCATTAGTGATGACATTATTAATTGCCTGTTCGGCAGCTGTGGTAAGTCTCTGCTGTGATGGTTCCTGAGCAGCACCACTGGCAAGCGCTGAACTTGCTTCCGCAACGAAACCCGCAGGTTGATTAAGCATCGAGCCAATATCTTGTTGAACGGCTTGTTGCATTGCTTGAGCCGCTTGCGCTTGTTGAACGGCTTGCTGAACGGCTTGTACTTGTTGCACGACTTCTTGCGTTGCCTGTTGAACGGCTTGTTGTACAACTTCTTGGGATGCTTGCTGAACAGCCTGCTGGAAGGCAGGTACCGCCTGTACTTGTTGTACAGCTTGAACCTGCTGCACGGCTTGCTGAACAACTTGAGCGTGTTGAAAAACTTGCTGCACTACTTGTTGTTGCGCTTGTTGCACCGCTTGAACTGCTTGTTGTTGGGCTTGAGCGACCACTTGCTCCACTTGTTGCTGGGCTTGCGCCACTACCTGCTCAACTTGTTGAACTTGACGTTGCATTGTGACCACACTTTGTTGCGATAGAGTTTGCAGCTGCAAATGATCCGTTGATCGTGGCATTACCTCACTCGAGACCTATAAAGAACCAATAATTTGGTATGATGATAATTATTCTAAAAGTAATATTTTACTTTAAAAAAAAAGTTATAAAACTTAAAGAAATATTCATAATTTTTTTTTTTACAATACAAGTTTCATAGTGACCCAAAAAAGTATTTTAGGGGAAATAAAGAACTTTTAAGGTACTATGCAAATATTTTGAAAGAAAAGGATAATTATAAAAAAAATCTCGATAATAATACATTATTTTAATAAACCTTCTATCAAAACTTTTTGATAAGTATTAAATTTTCCTTTGAATAAGCTTTGATGGATTTTTCATCCAAATCCTCTGAATATATAAAGCATTAGATTTTTATTTGATAAATAATTATTCTATCCAAAAATTTGTTACAGATTCATTAAATTTTGTAGTTTTGGTAGAACATGAATATTTTTAAAAATTATTATCATAAAATTCAAAACTTGATACTAATTTATTGTAAAAATAGGGGAAAATATATAGGGTACTTTTAGGGACTAAAAGTGAAAAAGGGGATTTTTAGGGAAAATAGAGGACGACTACGAAGTCTGAAAATAATATTTACTTTTTGACGAAATAAAACTCTGAATTTAATAGAAATTTCTCACACACCTGTAGTGGAATTTGTGAAGGAACGCTGACAGTGCCGTTAGATGAATTGGGAGCTGATACAATTGGTGCCTCTTGAATTGGTGGCAACAGAGCAGCGTTGATCGTTGTAAGTAAATTATCTTCAGGTGTCGGTTCGGGAACACCATTATTTGATGCCGCAACATTATTCGCAGGCACCGTAAGTGGCTGTGAATTTGGAAGAAGAGCCTCCAGCAACATTGTCTTGACAGGCACCGCTACTGGTGGACTAGGCCTTGTCGATTGTTGAGGACTTGACAATGCTTCAACATGATCGACAACCGGAGGCACGTGACCCATTATAGTGAGAGGACTGGTATTAACTGATCGAAGAGGTGAAACAATTTGATGTGTTTCTCCATTGGTAGTAACGAGCGAGTCCTTGTTAAGTGCGGTTGCAGTTGCCGCTAATAAATTTGAAGTCTGCTGTTGCAATTGTTGACGACCAGTGGCAATTATCGATGCTCGTTGCTGTATCGTACCAACAAAGCTTGTGTCCTGTGATTCCTGTTCTTTTGGCGATGGTACAAGGGGTCGAGCTGCCTCCAATTGATTGAGATAATTTTCAACACTGTGTCCACTTTGCGTTGGTAATGGTTGCCCGGCGGGCGTGTAATTACTCAAAGCCTCATACTCGGATTGATGATGTTTCATTCGAAGATCTACGACGCCTGCACCTTGAATATTCCCATTGGAATTTGCTTCACTTTGGAGAATTGGACTCGAATCCTGCTTCATGTGATGTGGACTAAGCACTTTTACCTTAAACGAAACAAATAAATAATCAACTACTTTATTGAAATTTATTTTTTTATTATTGTAAAAATTACAATTTAATTAAAAATTTCATGAGGCCATTAAAATTTAGGAATAAAATTTCAGTTTTTTCATTGATAAGTTACTTACCAGAGAAAGAGATGAAATTGAAAATCTACTTACCTGAGATGACTCGTGTATTCCCGTGAATGATGATGGATGCTGAGGTGGAATAGATAGAGAATGCTGATTTCTAATGAGATCGACGACTCCCAACAGAGCGTCCTGCACTGGGGAGTCATTATTCTGAACATTTCTAATGAGACCAGACTGAGAGGCATCACGTGAATTCTCATTGACAATTTGTTGCAATGGACTTGTCCCAGTAGGTCCATTGTGTGTTGGTGTCGAGACATTGACACTGTTTATGCTGTTATCGCTCAGCATTCCACTGTTACTGTTCTCGTCGAGTATCTCGGTCTTCAGATTGTCTGGCAGGATTAGCTGTAGATTTGAGGATGACCGTCTGTTCATTAATTGATTGGCAACAAGCGGCGGTGGCATCATCACATCCACAGCCGAATTCTGACAATTTGATCCCTGAGATGTCCACATCATAACTGGTGTGACTTGCGACGGTGCAGGTGGTGAACTGGGATTGTTTTTTAGAATTTCCGTTTGCGCTTGTTGCGACGATTGTTGCTGTTGCTGCTGCTGTTGGGTTAAAAAACCAGAAGCTCCTACGGCAGCTTGCGTCATTAGAGCTACAATTAAAAGATTGGTTTTTTTTCAATCTGTTGGAAGCTCCATTAAAACAAGATCTGTTACAACTCGAATAGATGTTTTGTTTTTTTTAATAAAACTCACTGTTTGTGGGGACACTTGAGACCGTCGAGGAACTCGATAAGCCATTGTCGTTGCCTTGGATTAATGGCGGATTTGATATTTCCACTTTACCTACTGAAGGCTCTGGAGGAGTTGAACATGAAGTGTAGAGGAAATTGTGCGGTTCGCTCGTTTTTCCGGAAGACACGGCATAGAGTCTCACACTAATTGTCTCTGTGGGTGACAGGTCTTGACGCCTGTATGCGGGAACAACGCAAACCAAATGAGTTTGCTGGAGAAATTCCTTGTCCGGAAGAACAGCACATTCCCAGTGCGGTTCTAAACTAGTCGAAGGATCGTCACTGTCCAATTGAAAGACAATACGTGTATCTTTCAGGAAATTTTTACCGAGAATGAATAATTCTAAGCCTCCAGTTGCTGGACAGGACGTCAGAGATTTCTTGCAAATTTCAGGAATACCCGGCGGTTGTGCTGTGGGGGAAAGAAAATGAGATTTTGCAAAATGAAAAATTTTTAATAAATTAATTTGACACTCACTGCAAACAATGGGCTGAGAACAGACTTGTAAAGTTTCTGAAGAGCCATCGGCGTGAGTGATTGTTGTACGGAAGACCATACGACAACGTGTGGATTTTTTTTTGCTTCGACCCTGTAGGACACCAGCTTCCTGTGGAAACCTGTGCTCAACATCGACATTTCTCTCTTTGAGAATACCAACACAGTCACAAGTAACAATCATATCTTTAGCGGGATCCATGTCCACTTCAATCACTATTGTCCCATCAACTTTACGTTCAACACAGGGTGTTGAATTTTTGCCACTCACTCGACATGCTTGATAAAACATATGGGGGGCAACGCGTCCAAGATCAGTACCAATGAAAACTTGAAGTGATGCCGGTTTGTCATAACCGACCAGACGAACTATTGGAAATCCATTTCCGGTACGATCCTTCACTGCGCCACGAGATCCCTCAGTTTGATAACGTGCTCTGTGCTGTTGTTCCGGTTGACAGATTATTTGCAATTGTGTCTTCCCATCCCTCGATATGCTGCCTGTAAAAGAAATTTTTCACGAATTAACATTTCAACTCTAAACAGTCAAAATCAAACAGTGAGCCAAATAAATAAAAAATTTTCATGAAAAATGTTTTTTTTTCCAGAAGAAGTTATGGCATCAGATTAAAACTATCAAATATACTAATTACTTTTTAAAAATTATTTCATAAGAATGAAGGTCAAACTTAAAGTATTCAAAACAGCAAGAGTCCTATGAATTCAGTCTAAGAATACATTAATTTCATACGAATATAATAAAATTTCAATAATAAAATTCATTTTATTTTTAATCGTCTTTTTTGATATTTTTTTTCTTTTGTTACAATTTGCATTTAAAAAAAGTACTAGGACATAGTTGAATAATTTTAAGAACCATGACTTACTGCTTGAAGTTTAATAATGCATTTGAATTTTCTTGATTCACACTCTCATGCTGTTCCTTAAGTACAACATCTATACTGAAAAATATTTCTTATATTTTTTCTCGACTTTTAGGAACTTTGCTGTTTATCTTTGAAAAAGAAGCTTTTTATACTTTTAGTCTACATTCTTATATTTTCCATGAAATATTTTTAAAGCACACAAAAATATTTTTTCAAGCAAAATAATATAATTAATCTGTTATAAAGCAGTAATGATTTATTTAAAAAAAAAAATAACTAAATAATAAAAATAGTTTATTAAAAAAAGTGATTTCTTACATCTAAAATAATTTCTTTTTTTTAAATAAAAAGTGATTATAGGTACAGAAGTGATTTGTTTCAAACAAGAGAGTGATTCCTTAAATTTAGAGTGATTTCTTAAATGTAGATTAATTTTTCATAACGGGAGTGATTTTACACCTAAATAAAAAAATTTATTATGAAAGTGCAGTATCTTCACAGTGTTAATAGGAACATTTAAGAGACATTGACTAATCTAATAAAAAAAAAATTATATATTTCGAAAAATTTACCAAATTAAAGTACGCGATAATCCTTTTAGAGAAAGGTGTTACCGCTCTTGATGAAAATATTAACAAGTTTGCTTCCAACAAATGCAAAAAACTGAACTAACCAAATTAAAGAAAGGCAAGATATTTAAAAATTACTTTTCAAAAAAGCTTACAATACAAAGGAAAATAATTCTGTTTTACAAAAATTTATCGAAATTTGTTTAAATATAATAATATTCATATTCAGATTGTAGAATCTGCGTAAATTTTAAATAATTGGAAAAAAAATTACTAATTTTCAAAATAAAAAAAAAACTATCAAAATTTGAGTGTTTTCTTTAATTAAAACACATTAAGTGGTTTTAAAAAATACGTACAAAAAAAGTGATAAATTCTTCAAATCTTATAATTAAAAAAAAACTTTTATTTTTTAAATTTAAAATTGAAAATAAAAAAAAATTAAAGATTGTTTTCAGCAAACTTGTAATGTATGTCCAGTTGTAAGAAATGATTGTGAAGTACAAAAATACATACAAAGCTGAGAAGTGAGGGTGACAGGACCTTGATGAGTGATGGGTGGCCTTTTGGTAAGGACACCGATGGCCGGACGTGGTCTAGTGATTCCAACAATTCTGCCAATTGTCCCGGCTGCACCATTTCCCGTACGTGTGATCGCACTTCCAATGCCATTTATTCCATTTCTTGAAGAGATTTTTGTCTCCTGTGCAGATCCTGGGGCAACTTCAGGAAAGGCAAAATTCGCATCCTCCGACTCGAGCTTAATATCCATTTTCCTTCTCTTTGAATCCTCTTCACCGACACCGTTCCAAACCTGCTACGCAATTGTTTTGAATCAGTATAAAAGAAGTGGAGGAAATAAAAATTAAATATTCTGTGTTTTCGTCTTATTTGTATATAGCATTTAATCGAAAACATTTGTCCAACTACCTATATGCGAGCATATCATTTGAGTTCAACTACCGTTGAACCAGCGCGGCAGTCCTCAAAGTTCTACATAAATGTAGAATCACTTGCGAAATCGCTTGCAACTACGCATATAGATAAGAGAGCATGTATGTCGGGAATCACTGATTGTACATATTTTTAAAGACGTCTATGTAAAGCTTCGTTCATAACATGAGTATTCAATATTGAAAATAGTTTCAACATTGTAAATCATTTTGTCACAATGACAATTTATCGGCTCCCGCAGATTTTCGAATCAATTCGCGATTAAAATAGGCTCGTCACGTTCTCGAATGACAAAAAAAAATCCAAATCAATAAATTTTTTTATATTTCAAAAATCAGATATTTAATAGAATTAAAAAAGTCAATTAAAAAAATGTTTTCAAATATTTTCTTTTATCTTAAATGTAAAATTAAAACACTTAATTGGAATTTATTACTAATTTCTATGAAGTAATGTTAAAATTAATTTCTAATTGTAATTAATTTTTATTAATGATTTTTTCCCAAACAATTATAAAATCAATTTAATATTAATTTTATTTCTAAAAAATGAGTTTTTATTAATTCCGCACTTACTTTACAACAAGCTTTTAACGAAACTAGAATTATGAACCTTTTAAAAAACGATAAAACTGTACATAAACATAAAACTCGTTTACATTAATAAAAAAAAAAAGAAGTGATATATGCATATGTACTTGCAACATTTTTTTATTTAACCAACTTCCTAAGTAATTGAAATTTTGTTTACCTAGATTTAAGATTTTTTCCCCTTTTCATGCAATTAATTATGTTTTCATTATTAACATCAGTAATTGTGAATAAACGAAAAAAAAAGATAAAATTCGAAATAATAAAAAAAAAAATTTTTAATTAGAATATGAAAAATTACTAAAAATTTATTAATTATTTATAACACAAAATATACAGGTTTTAAAAGTAAAGAAGAAAAATAACTTAAATGAGAAATTACTTTTAAAAAAAAGTAAATAAAGATTATTTATTGCGAAAATTATAATTAGAATCTAAAGATGAATATGAATGAAAATCAAAGCTCATAGAGATGGAGAAAATTCTATTCTATTATCTTAAACTTTGGCCTCATTAGACAAAGAGTATTTAGTTATAGTAGCGCGTTTTGCAAATATCCGGGATACATATGTATTTTCATCGAATTATTTTCAGATTGTGTAAAACCTAATTCAATCAATTGCAAAATTGAAAACATATGAAATGTAAAGTCTTGTAAATTTCTTCCTTTCATTCGAAAGGATAATAAAAAGTTTGATATTATCTTTTTCTTTTCTTTTTTTGCGTAAACAAAGAGCGAGATTTGTTGAGCGCCACTGTGATAATTATGATAAGAAAAATACATATCGTCATTTCGTCGAGATAATCTTTGATAAAGAGAAAGACTTCTCCTTGGTATTGTAATCATGCAGCTGATAACCTGCGCGATTATTTTGCAGTTAATAATCTTTCTTTTTGCTTAGATAATTTTAATGATTCCTCTAAAATTGTTTCTCTAATTATTCGAAACCAACTTGAAAAATGGGGGAAAAATTGCGATTTTATTTCTATTATTGTTTGTCTTCAAGTGACAAAAGTTTATTTGCTTATTAGTTTTTTTCGATTATAAATATTTCAACTTTGAATGATTTTTGGAATTTCAAGTTTTATTTCATCAATTTTCTAATTTAATTTCTATTTTACTGTAATTTAAAAAAATTTAAATTTTACTGACAAAATTCGATGGTTTTTCACAGTAAATGAAACTCACAGAAACTTTATTCAGCAATTGCTGTCGTTCCTCGAATCCGAGGCCAGAATCATTTGAATTGTCACAAATGTCCTGAGTGGAATTTGTTCTAATGGCCAGATCATCCGAATTTCTGGAGATGAGGCCGTTAAATGATGTCAATGGGACAGATGATTGTTGCTGCTGTTGAGTATGAGGATGACGTTGATGACTTGTCCTTCGACTAGAGTGAGTTCGATTGTTTGAAGTCACTGAACTTCTTGTTATTGTTCCCGTCACCGACGACGATATGCCACCTGCGCTATTTCCTGCAAACAAAGAAGAAAATTAATTCGATTTGCAACAAACAAAATGACAATCAAAATTTCAAAAAATAAGAAAAAAAAAATTCAACTCATTTTCCATTAATTTAATTTTTAATTTTTTAATTAAAATGATTAATTTTAAAGCCAAGATAATTAAATAAAATAGCTCTAAAAAGCAAAATCTTTAAAATCCAATATGAAATTTTTAAATTAAAAAAAAAAAATGTTTCTTCATTTTGAGTATTAAATTTAATAAGATCGTTGATTTTTTTTTATCAAATCATTTAAATTCATATATTGCATAAAAGACAAAGCAAGGTAACATCGTCCACTTGTAAAAGCATTCCTCGACTTTATAAGTTGATTTCTAAATATAAACATCTGTCTTATCTGAGCTGGTATTTTGCAGTTTATCAATCATTTTTTTTTTAGATTGGTTCGTATCAGCCAGAAACTTGCAATTTCAAAAGTAATGAAAACCTCTATATGCTCGAGAGACAATTTATTTTCAGACGAAAACTTTGAAACGGGAGCTGAATAATATAGAAAATGAATAAAAGATGATATACTTTTTTTCTTGAGAAATATTCTTGATATATATATAGCAAAGAGAAAAAAACACTTTTAATTTCTCAATTACTCGTCAATTCGTTGAATTATATAGAATTTTTTTAAATTCAATATTGTATAATAAGCTTAAAAGTGTTTACTCTTTTAGTCGTCTTCATTCAACTAGATACGTTATTTTGACTGAAAACACCGAAAGGAACTGACCAAAAGTGTCATTACGAACTGACCACGACTTCTCTGACGTCAGAGGTTCAAGGTCTACAAGGAGGTCGTCAAAAGCATTTGTCCAGCACCTTTTCCAAAGACTTTAACAAGGTCCATATTATTTTTTACACTAATCTTTATTTACAAATTCTATCCACAAAATCAACACATTATTATATGCGAAAAAAAAAATTATTCAATAATAAATAGTCTCCGCATTTGTTTCTTTTGCTTCGACAACTTGTTAAAAATTACATAATTTACCGTTAGATTTGTCTGAAATGTTTGCAGAAATTCACTGACTTATAATACAAAATTATGAAAACTTAAAAAAAAATTGATTATATTAAACTTTAGATAAGAAAAAAAAATTATTTTAAAAATAAAATAACTAATAATATAAAAAACAAAAAATAAATAAAAAGACATTAAAAAAGTAATTAGGCCAGAAAATTTTACATCTTTTATTGATAATAATAATTTAAATTATTATTACAAAAATATTATTAAAATATTATTATCAAAAATACAAATAATAATTTTCGGTTTTCTTGCAATTTACTTAATATTAGAAAATTATGAAGATATTTTTAGTTTTTTCTTATATGATAACATACATTTTTTTTTTTTTTTTTTTTTTTGAAAAGAAAAAGTCATTGTTAATTTTTGAGAACAAATATAAAAATGGTATATGTATTTTAGTTATACATATTTAGTAAATAAAATGACTGAAGTGTAAATTGTAGTTATTTAAAAGCGTTAAATTGTATTTAAGTATAAATTTTTAAGCTATAAATATGTACATAAAGAAAAATTTTATAACCAAATAAATTATGTTTTTTTCCTTAAAAATTTTTAGATAAATGGGTTCAAACAAAATTTGAAGGAAATGAAAAAAATTAGAAAATATTTCGATTAGCTAATTATAGGTAATTATAATTCAATAACATGGAAGACAATAAATTTTCATTTCTTTTTTTGTGAAAAGTATTTTCTTAAAAATTTTAATTTATTTTAGATAATGCGTGTGTGCATATTGTCCATTAAAAAAATATCAATAATTAAAAAAAATTATTGAATTTTGAAATAATATTTTAAAAAATATGTTGCTTTTACAATTAAAAAAAAAAAATCGGACAAGTACGAGTGTAACTCGCACTGAAATCGAGGGTTCCGTACTCGAAGCGAACTTATTTGGTATAAAAACAAATGTTTAAAAAATACGTGTTTTATGTTAAATAATATATGTGATACAAAAAGGAACAATTTAAAAAAAAAATTTTAAGAAAATTGTTCCTCCTTTGGTATAAAAACAAAAAAAAATTTTAAATATGTGTTGTATTTCTTAAATTTTTTTTTAAATTGTTCCTTTTTGTATCACATATATTATTTAACATAAAACACGTATTTTTTAAACATTTGTTTTTATACCAAATAAGTTCGCTTCGAGTACGAAATCCCCGATTTCAGTGCAAGTGTAACTCGCACTTGTCCGATTATTTTCGTTTTTTGCGGTAAAATACATTTTTTTTATTAAATTTATCATTTTTCTTCAAAAATTTGATAAAAATTGATCATCAACTCCAATCGCGCTTACATTTTTTCCTGTATTTTTCACGCAAAAATACAGTTTTACAGCAAATATGAACAGTTTGGGTTGAATATTATGTGCGCTAGGGAGAGTAAATCATTTTTTTTTGAAATTTTTGATTTTTCCTTGACAACGCTATGATAATCAATTTCTATCAGGTTCGCTATATTTTTCCTGTAATCTACACGCGAAAATACATATTTAGCGTACCAAATTTCAGCCCTCCAGATAAATTCGTGTGGCCGCTAAGGGGGGGGGGGGTACACGATTTAAAAAAAAACCGATATTAATAGGGTTCCGAACCGAGTACGGAACCCTAAAAAAAAACAAAGAACATTTGATTGTGTATTAACAAAGTTTTTACGTCGGTGAAGTTTAAAACTATGATTAACGAGTTAGAAAAAAATATCTTTCTGTTCAAAATTATAATTTTTTGTCAAAAAAAATATTTGCAACGTGTCTTGATAAATAATTTTTTAAAGAAAAATTTATAGACAAAAAATTAATAAATTATTTTTCAAATGAAAAATATTTTTTCTTTCAATCGTTCATCATAAACGTTGTGAACTTCGACAAAGTACGAATTTAGTTAAAGCTTAACAAAAATTTTGTTATTTTTTAACCAAATGAAAAGAATTTAAATTTAACTGAATTTCGGTACAGATAACAATAAGACAATAAGATTTAGGGAATTTATAAAATATATATTTTTATTAATGTTGTTATCGTTATAAGTTTTTATTGTCTTAATGTTATAATTTTGTCGCATTTCTTAACATTAAAAATAATAAAATTAAATTATAATATCACGAATGCTACTTATTTACAAAACAGTGTGTTTTCAACGAAAATATAACAAATCGTAAAAAGGACGATATTTATTTTTTTCACTGAGCAAAAAAAAGAAACCAATTATATTGACGTAATGGAAGATCGAATAAAAGGGGATGTATTTTTTGTTTTGTTTGAAGAAGTGAGAACTGGTTATCAAGGTTTCGTGAAAGCCTATAACCAATTTTATAAAATATATAGGTATATATACATTTCAGTTAAGAAAGAACACACAAACAGTTAGAAAAAAATTTAGAAAAATGATTTTAACTATAAATAACTAAAAAAAATCGGACAAGTGCGAGTTACACTCGCATTAAAACCGAGGGTTCCGTACCCCTATCCTAAAATTTGAGGGGTTTAAAGTGTAAAGGCCGATGGAAAAATTCCAATTTTGCTTAATTTTTCCTGTAATGTGAGCATGGAAATACATATCATAAGTTTTTAAAAATGTTTAAATTTTTTTATCATTTAACATTTTCAATTTTATGATTTTTTTTTAGATTTCACCAAATAATAAAAATATCAACAAATAAAAAATGTCAAAAGATAAAAAAAATAGCAAATGGTAAAAAAAAGAAAATGGCAAATTATAAAGAATGGCAAAATACTACAAAAAAATATAGCAAGCACAATTGGAGTTCTCACTATATTTTTTTTGTAATCTACACGCAAAAATACGTAAAAGTGTATAAATTTGAAACTCTTTAGATAAAATATTCTTTGTTTTTTGGGGAAAAATCATGATTTTTATCGAAAATTATCAGTTTTTCCTTGCAAACACTATGATAATTAACTCCAATCGTTCTCGCTGTATTTTTTTTTGTAATCTACACGTCAAAATACGTAAAAAAGTATAAATTTGGATCCCTTAGGATAAAATTTTCTTCTTTTTTTATTCGAAAAATCCATGATTTTTTCTAAAAATATGAGTTTTCCTTAAAAACAATATGAACATCAACTCCAATTGTGCTAGCTATATTTTTCCTGTAATCTACACGCAAAAATACGTAAGTGTACCAAATATGAACTGCCTTCGTCAAATATTGTGTGCGCTAGGAGGATTAATCGCTTTTTTTCAAAATTTTTGATTTTTCCTTGACAACGCTATGTAAATTGATCCGAATCATGTTCGCTATATTTTTCCTGTAATTTTCACGTAAAAATACATAAGTGTACCAAATTTGAGCTCTCTATGTAAAAAGATGTGGCAACCAGGGGGGGGGGAGGGTACATAGTCATTTTTAGGGATTTTTCGTAAAAATTCATGGTTTTTCCTTGACAACGCTATGATAATTAATTCCTATGAGATTCGCTATATTTTTCCTGTAATCTACACACCAAAATACATATGTATACCAAATTTCAGCCCTCTAGATAAATTCGTGTGGCCGCTAGGGGGGGGGGGTACATGCCTTGCTTCACTAGTCTCATTAATACTAGTCTCCACGGAAATTCCGTACGGAATTCCGCAAAAATTCTATACGGAATTCCGCAAAATTTTGAAAGTATTCCTTTCGTAATTTTGCGAATTTTTTTGGAAGAATTCCATACAGAATTGCACAAAATTTTCAATAAAATTCCACAACTTTATTTTTTGCTGATTTTTTTGTGATTTTAAAATAACTGCTGCTACTATAACGAAAACTAGTCGACGATGATGTTCCTGGTGGATATAATATAGAATTTATGATAGATTAATTAATATCTAGTCGAACTTATTTGAGAGGTCAATAAAACGTTTTCCAAAAGAAATTTACTATTTTTCAGTCAACTAACTAACGGTAGTTGAATTTCTCGACTAATT